TGGGGAATGCGGTAAATAAATACACGCCCGCCGCATTTCAGTATTATACTTAACCTGAACAATGAAAAGGAGAACAAATATCCAGCAGCAAAACATAAGTTGGGGTGTTGTGCTAATTGATTACTCTGTTTTCCTCTTGGCTGTAATTTGATGACGTTACCTCTTGTTCCACCAATCACAGTTAAGTAAGAGATTACTGGAAGAATGCAATGTCTATGACACCACTATCCATTGTTTTGGGGCGCCGCCTCCCCTAGGAGGACCTATTGTGAGCCACAGGCCTTGGCAGGGTCCCTGGGAGCAGTGGCGCCCCATAAAGAGGCCTGAGGGAAGCCACCGCCTCTGGAAGGGCTCCTGAAGGCGCCACACCGCTGGCGGCTCTGGGAGCACCCACGGTCCCTAGGGAACGGCCTGGGCGCCCGTCCTGGGCCCCGGGGATCATGGCTGTCCCTAGCCAGAGGCACCCTAGGTCGTCAGTTTCCCTAACAGGGCTCAGGGGGCACCGCCGTCCCTGTGAGGGTCCCTAGGAGCGTTGCCAAATCCCTCAGGGGTCCTTGAACGTGCCATCCCTGAGAGGCCATAGGCTGGCTGTTCCTGGAGCCCCTTTCGAAGCCGCCTTCCCTGAGAAGGCCTTTCAGGACACAGTTGTTCTGGGCCACCCTGGGTGGATCAGCACCTGACAGGTCCCCTGGGGAGTGCATGCGACCTGAAAGAGGGGCCCTGGGGAGGCGCCTCCGTGCCTGGCATGGCCAAGTGACCCTCACAGGATAGCAGCGATCAGGGTCCCTTACAGGGACAGGGGCGCCTTCAGGGGTGTTCCCAGGGACGGCAGCACGCCTTCAGGGGTGTTCCAGGGACGGCATGGCCTGGGGCCCTACCTGCAGCAGTGGCATTCAGGGGCCCTTGCAGAGGCGGTGTACTCCCTAGGGGTCCATCTATGGGGCGCCTCTGCCCCCAAGGACCCTGCCAGGGGCTGTGGCGCCATTATGGGCCCTCCTGGGGCGGCTTGAGGCTGGTATGGGCCCTCCTAGTCGCAGTGGATTGCCTTTCCAGGGGCAGCAGGGTCTCTGCCAGGGGCGACCCAGCGCCCCAGTGGCCGCTTCCATGCAGGATCGTCCCAGGAACTTCATAGGTTTGTCATGCATTTTACATTCGTCAGTAATCCCTTACTTAACTGTGATTGGTGGAGAAAAGATGTAACGTCAAATTACAATAATAGGAGAACAGAGCAATCCAGTCAGCACAACACCCAATTTATGCTTTTGCTGTTGGATATGTGTTCTCGTTTCACTGTTTTAAACTCTAGGAGAATATGACGGTCAATAAATAGACACTGGCCATATCATTTCAGCATTATATCACCAACCTGAACAATTAAAAAGAATAATACCAACAGTAAAAAACATAAGTTGGGGTGTTGTGCTTTGTTGATTCCTCTGTTTTCCTATTGACTGTAATTTGATGAGCATTACCTCTTATTCCACCATCACAGTTAAGTGAGGTTACTGTAAGAGAAAAGTAATATATGTACGACACCACTATCCATTGTTTTTGGGCTCAACTCCCTAGGAGGGACCTATTGGCCACCAGGCTTTGGCAGGGTCCTGGGGAGCAGTGGCACCCCCATAAAGAGGCTGAAGTGCCGCCTCTCGAAGG